GAGAGAGAGAGAGAGGGCGAAAAAAAAATATAAGACGGTTTCAAAGAAATGTCTATACACGTTCCCGCAAAAAGCTTTCGCCTCGTCCCGACTCCCGGAATCAGAGCGCGTAGATATTATTCGCGCCTCTTTCGTGAATTCGCGTAAGGTAGGGGCGTCATTAAAATCAATACCGGCACGCTCTCCGCCTCGTCTCCCTCGTGCCACCACCTATCCCCTATCCCTCTCGGTATGTCCCGCTTTCATCTTCATCCCTCGACGCTATTCATCCTTGTCGCGCCTCCTTTGTATACGTGTGCACGTATACGTGTGCAACGTGGGGGTGATAGGGTGGCGAGGGTGCAAGGGGATGCTCGTTTCTAGTCCGATGTGGGAGCCGTGCAACGGTTGGTGGGGCAGGCCGGAGGGGAAGAAAGAATCAGAGGGAGAGAAAACGCGAAAAAAAAAAGGGAACGTGCGCGAGGAGGGGAGGTCCAGGGGGTTGGGGAGGGGAGGGGAGACGCGATAAGAGGAAGGGTGCCGCGTTCGCAAGGTTAGGTAGCCGGTACACGCGATAAGGAGTGGGGGTGACGTTCCCATGGCCAATAAGAATCTCTTTAAAGCGCCCTTTTTGCGCGGGGGACTGCGCATGCCGGATTCAAATCTGGGCGACCTGGGGTATCGAGTGGAGGTGGCCACGGTGGTGGTGGCCGGTGGCTGTATGGAAATATGATAGCGCGATAAAAAGAGGAAGAATGGCAGGGATGCTTGTGTACGCGAGGGAAAACGGCGCGTGGGTGGGGATTCTGCACGGCTGCTACGACCAATAAAGGCCCAGTTTAAAGCGCCTTATTTTTTCTTTTCTTTTTTTTTTATACCGGCACTGCGCATGCCGCATTCAAATGTTAGGAGTGGTGGGTTTCCGATGTGTGTGCATGGAAATATGATAGGTGAGACTCGGAGGAATGGCGGACGAAATAGGGGTGTGCGAATATTTTTATAACCCGGCAGAGTTACGACAGGGTTGGAGATTTTTCGGAGAAGAATGGCGGCTGAGATAGGTTTCAGAACGTGTACGTAATGCCTTACGTTAATTTCATTAAAATTCGTCAAAACATTTTTCGATATTCGAATTTAAATTTGATTCGAATTACGTTGATATGTTCGATATGTTCAATACGTTCGATACATTCGACTCGATATAGGATGCATGAATATTTTTATTATCCGATAGAATGACGATAAGATTAGAAATTTTTCGGAGAATAATCATGTCTGAAATAAATTTCAGAACGTATACGTGATATCTTTAATTAATTTCACAAAAATTCGTAAGATTTTTGATGTTCGAATTTAAATTTAATTCGAATTATTCGAATTGTGTAGCTTGATACCGAAGGTTTGATATGTTCAATACGTTCGATATATTCGACTCGATAGGATGCGTGAATATTTTTATAATCCGATAGAATTAGAAATTTTTCGAAGAAAAATAAATTTCAAAATGTATACGTAATATCTTTAATTAATTTCATAAAAATTCGTAAAATTTTTGATATTGAATTTAAATTTAATTTAAATTATGTATCTTGATATCGAAGATTTGATATATTCGATATGTTCGATATGTTCGATTCGATGTAATTGTTATACTTTTTCGATACTGTTAATGGCTGATTATAATATTCGTATATTATGCATTATTGATTGTTTGAATACATTTGTTAATGCGAACGTATTCAACACACAATGAATCTATTGTTCGAGAGATCGTTGAACCGACCGGTTTTAACCTGTACAAGTACTTACCGGTTTGCTGTTAACCTGAGACTCATCAGCATAAAGTATTAGCCGGATATTTCGTTCTTCAGTGTACATTCCAAAAATGTATTACTAAGTTCGAATCATAAAATCACAGATTTCAACTAAAAGTTTCGAGAAACTATCGTATATATTTCACGTAACGCGAATTATTTCTCACTAAACGAATATTCTAATATTCAAATTGTAGCAAAGTAGTAGTATATATATAACCTAATACACGAACCGAGTTTAATACACTTGCAATTTACTATTCTACTTTCTTTTATTTCGACCAACAATAAGTACACTACTTTTGCACTTTACGAAGAACACTTTAAACAGATATTTTGCGAAAAATTACTACTGAAACTTCAAACGAATCGATTTTATAATTTGCGAAATATATCCACGAAACACGCACGTCCGCCAAAAAACGCCACCTGTGACATCTACTTGAATTAATATGCGTCGCGCGCATATTAGAGCGCCCTCATTATTACTTAGTTGTTACTTGACGTTTACGAAAATGGTTGTGCTAAAGACGTGCCACTTGTTTTTCGGATTAATTTGAAAGTGTTAATTGTTGCTGTGACATATCGACAGGGGAGCGACGAGTGCCGCGATTGGTCGCTTTTCTCGCATATGCAAATGGACTTACCTTCTCTCTCTTTAATCGTGGTTTCGTTGCAGCAGTAAGTAGTAGCCGGTACACGCGAGGTAAAAAGGCGCGTTCGCGCTCGCGACCAGAGAACTCGCCTTCCTTGCCGGGCGGAGCCGCGCGTGATCCGCGTTTCTTTGCGATTGGAGCACCATTCCCCACCGACGCTGCTTGTTTCCCCACCAGCATAAGCGTCCAGGCGTCCGTCCGCTGCTTTTCGTTCCAATCTAACCTCTTCGTCGTACACCCAGCCTTTCGAGCCGAGGTTAGTATCGCTCCATCTCTTTCCTTCTTTGTGCAACTCCCCCACTTTGCGTTCCACGGTCCGTGTACGCGTCCGCGTTCCCCGTGGCCGGTAGGCGGCCGACCGGGCGTACGTGGGCCCTCTAGTGTAGCTGCACACATGCACGCGACAGCATCTGACCGCCGTACCAGCCGCCGCAGCCGTAGCTGCCACCGTCGTAGCTCGTCGCGGATGCTCGTGTGCCTGCGATAACGATACTTTGCTCTTTCTACGATCCCGCACCGCGAACAGCTCAATTCTCGCGAGAGGAAAGCTGACGCGCGGTGTGTGTGAACCTATGACGAAACGGTACCGCACGTGTGGAACGCGGAACCACCGGGAATAATTGCCAGCGTCGAAAGTGAGACAGTGAATATTCGTGACGATTTCCAATGGCATTGGAAGGATTCTGAAATAGATTTACGATCTAGCTCGTAACTTACGATGCTCGTGCTCGTTTCGGTGATTACGATTCGGAATCGTTCGTGAATTCGCCGATGGGTGACGCTGGCTATCTGACGCGTCACTGACAGGTCGGAGAGACAGTAGGATTTTTGAATATTCGCGGGCTATAAAAGACACGATTCTCGCGGTAAAAACGCGGGAAACTTCGGCGTAAGCTGTTGACAGTTGGCGTTGGTGTCGATTCAAAATTTACGCGAGATCTGCTGGTGTTCGGCATTCGGATGACAGGTGAATTCAACGGGAAACGGGAAACGAAAGGGGACGATATGCGAAGGAAATAACGACGATACACGCTTGTCACGCTGTTCCGTTTAATAACTATATATTCATTAAGAAGTGTTCGTACAATGAACGTGAAGGATAAACGTATATAACTAAATAGTGACTACCGTGCGAGACTGGAATACGTTCGGAGCGTGTCGAAGGAATATATCTGTGCTCATTTTACATCAGTGTAGTGTTTCAATAGGAATATACTGTGATATCAAAGGATAATAGACGTCTGAAGGATCTTTTATATTTATAATTCGAATTATGTTCCTCAACTTAAAATAACCTCAACTTCAAAATAACCTCAAAAATCTCTACTACATACCGTACTCGTCCTCGTGGAGGTTTCGTTCTCAAAAGTGCAACACCGATTCACCATTTGACCGTGCTCGACGCTTTCAATCAACGATAAAAACGACAAAAGGATATCGAGTTCGTGCAGGGAGGCGAAGAACAGCTTAGCTCGTCCAACAAAGGGAGCCAGCAGGTGACCACGTTGGATTTCGCGGCGTTGGCTGCTTACGGGGGCGTTTCGGGACCCAGGGTCGCGGTGGCGGGTACCGGGGTCCTCGCGCTACCCGGCCTGATACCCGATAAGGGTTTATCATCGCCCGGAGGACAGTCGAAAACAAAGTCCGCAGGGCTGGCGGGCCTCGACAGCGAGGCGGTGCGCCGGTGGGTCGCCGAGGCCGCGCGAACCGTCCGGCAAATTCCGCCTCCGGTTGTGATACCATCCAGTTCCCAGCAACACCAGCAACAATCTATTCAACCGCAGCCGCAGCACAGGCAACAACATCATCATTCCATCCATCGACAGCGCCAAGAGTCTAGCCCACCTCTGGTGGGCGCCTCCCCTTCGTTCTGCCGTCGTCGATGACGCAGACCCCCAGCATGCATCTGCTGGAGAACAACAACCTGGTGGAGGTTGCGATGGTTCAACAGCAGCAACAGTCGCAACAGCAGATGCAGATGCAGCAACAGAAGCAAAAGCAGACCAGCCCGACCAACAACAACACGATCGAGGCTTGGAGGTCTATACAGGGTGGGCACCAATGGTGGAGTCCACCGAGCACCGTTCATCAGGAGCAGCAGCAACAACAACAGCAGCAACAGCAACAACAACAACAACAAGTATCGCCGCCTATAGGACAACAAGTTGTTCAGTCGCAGAGTTTGGTCGTTGGCTCGGTTTGTGGACAAGTACAAAGACAGTCGCAGATACAATCGGAGATCGACCAACCTTTGGACTTTTCGGTCGGTTCCCTTCAGCAACAGAGGCTACATTCTCGCGTAAGGACTATGTACGAGAGACTGCAGGATAGGATACACGACAATAATAATGGGACAACCGGTAGCGGGCAGAAGATCGGCAGAGGGACCGGAAGCAGGAGAAGTTACAGTCCCAGTGAGGGTAGCAGCAGCAGCAGCGAGGACGAAGGAGTCTCCACCGGCGGTAGCCCTTCCGGTCCACTTCGAGGCACCGAAAATGGTGAGTCTGTCAGACACTGCATATTCTCTTTTTCAAAAATTATCAAATCG